ACAGAGGGGAGAGGGAAAGAGCAGCTTTTGCACGTTTCCATTCCCTTCCTGTGTCCTCTGCACAGCAGTTGCATGTTCCCTGAGCTCCCTGGCACGGAGCTCCGCGCAGCCTGCACTCGCTTGCCACAGGGTGAAGCAGCAACTTCATACGCACAAACAAATTGCAGTGGGAGCCCTCTCCAGTGGCACAGACACACGTCCCTTGTGTCCCTACCGTTCTGCCCCACTGTGTGAAGAAAACCAGGTCATTAACCACAATATCAGTCATTCCCAGAGGCACTACCTGACATACTAGCCTCCAGCCTCTTGGGCACTTGGCAACCGTGGTAGGTACTGCAGGGATATACTGCAGGGGTACAGCCCCTGCCCTGGTGAACCCTACTGTGCTCCCACCGGGGTCTCTGACACTTCCCATCTTCTGACGTGGATGGGTGAGGTCACGGGAGGGAAGCAGCTCACCTGGGTGGAGGAGAAGCCTCCGTTGGGATTCTGCTGACCGCTGATCCACTTTGCAATAAGAGACGCAAATGACAGCTCCTCCTGGGAAGGTGCCGGCTGCGTGGTGAGGTGAGCAAGGAGCACGTAGGCCGTCATCTCCACTTCAGCAGAGGGAGCTCGGTAGCGATAGTACGGGAGATCAACCTCTGGCTCTTTCCCAGGCCGCTGCCAATGAACGGACCCATCTTCACAGGAGGCAGGGAGCGTGGAGACAAGACAACAAGCAATTATTAGTAGTCACTGAAAGGCAGTTCTTGATCTGCTGCTGGTCCAGTTGGGAGGACAGAGCCTCCAGGACGCATCTGTCATGCAGGGTGAAATGGGAAGGGTCAGACAACTCTTTGTTGCTGCATCTCCTCTGGGGCTGCCGAGGCTCAGTCCTTGGGCCTGGATACCACTTTGTCCTAGACTCCAGATGCATGGAGGCATTACTGGGCTCGAGCACCAGCCGAGCACCAGGCTGGCACTACTTGCCTTGTTGGGTAGAGATGCCAGGGTTGGGCAGTGACAAGCTCTGTGAGGCAAAATGCCCCAACGACTGTGAGCAGGGCTTGAGAGTCACCTGCAGGTGGAAAAGGCAAAAGGTGCTGGGGATATTTCCTTCACAGCCCTGCTCCCCAATGCGTGGGCAAGCCCACTGTCCGGCCTGACTTGACCAGAATGCTTCCAAGTCGTTACGTGATTTCCTGGAAGACTCAGAGCTTATGCTATGGCCTCCGAAATGACCTGTATGCTCGTTTTCTCTCTCAGCACACGCAGCTCTTCTCTGATTTATTGTCCCTTGTGCTGTGCAAGGTCAGCTTTCTTGAATGTTGAGCACGTGCACTGGAAGGAAGGAGCGGCCATAAACATTGCTAAGTCTTTGCTAAGCAGTGCCTGGTGTGGCAAGAGGAGCGGCCTGAGGAGAGACGCTAGCAGAGCTACCCTTTAGTTCAGCACGGATGGGGATGGTGCCCGGTGCTTCCTGATGAACTCCCTGGGAGCGGAGAAGTAGGACTGGGCAGTGAGAGGGAGTTCTCAACAACGCAACCCCTTTGCACCAGTTTTTCCTCTCCCTCCACCTTTCCCCACCCACAGAAGCCATTTCCTGCAGCCATTGCCCCACCAATACAAGCCACTTTATCAAGGGAAGATGCAAGGCCAGTGGGCTGGAAGAAAGAGATGTCCCACCAGGAGCGCTCACCCTTTCTCACGGCTTCCTTTCCAAGGGAGCCAAGCAATGCCTTCCGCTTGTCCTCCTTCCCTGCCAGGGCGAAGGCGTACGCCATCAGTGCCTTGGTGTACACGTGGTTTTCTTTCTCTGCTGCTGTCTCCAGGCAGAATAGAGCGTTACGCACCACTGAGTGCTGGAAGGAGAGAGAGACTGAGAGACTGGAGCAGCCCGAGCTCACACTGAGGTCCATCTTAGAACAACAGGAATTGACATTCCCACTCCCCTCTCTGACAAAGATTGTACCACTGTGTATCCCTTCCCCTCCAGGTCCAATACCCCCTTGAACGAAAGGGCAGGCAAAGGCTGTTCCTCATCTTGCACCTGCTTTTCTTTAATACATCTTGTTGCAATGTTTTTTCCCAGTTTGATTTAAAGACTGTGAAATAAGGCTCCAACCCTTCTGCCTTGAGAAGAATTACTAGCCTGATTGTGTCCTTTCCTTTTTATTGTTTAGCTCCCCTTTTCCAGGGCCTTCTGAAAAATTTCATTTTGCTGGATCTTGATAACATAGCTTCTAGTTTGGAGGCAAATTCTATCTCTGCATGAGAAAGAATATTTTTTTTTCTGTTTTCTGGAGTATTTTTTGTGACATGTTTACTTCCACAATGCATGTCTTTTTTAAGGTCAAATCTCAAGTGTGGTTTAAGAGCACAATTGCTAGAGCAAAGCAAAATGTAGCTACTTTACATAGTGTTAAGTAACAGACACTGCGACCCCATGACCTTTCAGCAAGATGCATGACTATTCCTCATTTGTGATGGAAAAACTGGTATAAAATTGAAACAATAACACTGCAGGGCGGCATGCCATGATGTGAAGCCTAACAGCACATTTACAGCTTAATCAATGGTCTAGAAGGACAAGACTTATTTTTCAGTGGCTTTGTACTTTGCCTTCACTGGGTGTGTACTGGAAGATGAAGTCTTTTGTGGTCACTTTTGGAGACCCAATTCAGCTGCTTTTGAGAAAGCAGAGAATAAAAATAAAATTGGTTGGGTCCATGCCTCACCTAAGGTTTCCTATGCTTACTACTGTTTGTAAGGTAAGTGTTGGGGAGGAGTTCAGTCTAATGAGAGGACGTGGCAGTAGATACACATGCTGAGGACAGTACTAATAAGTTTTTACTGAGGGGTCTAATATGGCTTATTTTACTTACGGAAATACTCTGTATCTTGCCAATAGCATTAAATACCTAAGCAGTGTGCTATGCTCAGGAGTTCATGCAGCTTAACTTGAAATGCACCCATATCCCAACGAGATTCTGACAAACTCCTTCACATTCAGTGGCACTTTTACGCTCAGACAGGGAGATGAAAAACATCCTTGTTATCCAACAGAGTTCTGCCTGAGAACTTGCCTTCTAAACACAGCACATACCAAAGAAAGAATACTCTTCTGGTGAAGTTAATGTTGTCCATGTCACCCTACTGACAAAATAATTCCTTTTGCTGGTTCTCACTATACAGGAAAAAACTTTCAACACAAAATAGTCCCTACTACGTTCGGAGCAGAGGGATTATAGCAGCCTGGCAACCATCCTGGCTCAGCAGTCCTTCTGCTGCAATTCACACCCCAATTTTACCTGCACCAGAGGTTTGTCTCACAGTAAGGGGATCACAGACTCAGGGATCAGAATGACCAAACCCACATTGCTTCTACATAGGCCTCAGGCTTTTCACAGTTTATGGTATTCCCTATAGGTATACCTTATTCCCCAAGCATTAAGGATGGGGATTTCCCATAAAACAATCTAGAAGAGGCAGAGAAAATTAGAATGAATCCCTGAGGGTGCCCTTTTTTTACAAACCTGTGCTGTTGTGTCAACACAATAGGCCCAGACAAATGGTTCAGAAAAAGGAATGTACTATTCCAACAAACAAAAGGAGATTTTTGTGGGTGTAGAAACCCTATTTGGCTCATTTCAGAGATTTAAATATTATTTAACTCACTGTTAATCCAAGATGTACTCTTTTAAAGGAGCAAAAGCTTGATCCTCCACAAAAGAACTCAGAAAAAGATTAAGTGAAATGTGTATATGGGAGACAGGATTGGACAGGGGAGAAAAATGGAGGAAAAGTGTTATTCCAGTCTAGGCTTGAACAGAAAGAATATTCAGACAGGATTTCTTCTTTCAAAAGGTAAAGGGACCTGATAATCTGGGGGGCCACTAGTAGGGCAGGTTAGTACCATCTGTGGCTCAGGTTGGGGTGCAGACACATACGGTTACAGGCAGAGGAATCTCCAGCAATGCAATAGTGATGTAGGCTGTCAGCGTGATTTCGTCATCCACTCCACCCTGCAGGGAACCACAAAAGTAGATGTTGATCCCACACAGCACCACTGGCTTCTCCCTGTGCTACATATCTACATCCTGCAGGGACAAATTCTTCCTAGCCTCCTTCTCATGGTAAGTCCTTCAGAAGCTGTGGTTGGCTTCTTCCTGCTTCTGTGATAGCTCACATATTTAACTCCCCCTCCTCCTCAACCCCCAAGGACTGAAATAGCCTGTTCATCCCAGAGTGACTTCTGGACAAGTCCCAGCCTTACAGAGCCCATGTGGAGCCAACCAGGCAGACACATTACCTTCATGGCATTGTTCAGGAGTGTCCCAGAACTGCGGAAACAGCCGTTCTCCTTCTGCTTTTGAGTGAGCCAGACCAAAGCATCCTGGATGTGCTTCTCATCTATGAAGATGTAAGGCCGAGCCTGGGCAAAGGACTTGAGGACAAAGGCTGTGAGCCTGAAAGTGACAGAGGGAACTGAGACATCCTGAGCAGGCCCTGTATCCATCATAGGTCATAGGGCCCCTGTGGGCATCACTGTTTTGGAGGAACACAATAGAGGCTACAGGACTTGATCACAGGAGGCTGGTTAGAAACTGTGACTAGCTTAGCGACTCGGTGAGATAGGGACCAATGGTAAATGGAGCCTGCCAGTCATAGCCCTGAGGGGTGTGGGTAGGTGAGCAATGGCACTCTGGGGATTCATCAGCATCTTCTGCTAACAAGAACCAGCTAGGGCATCCTGCAGGTCACCCTCACTTGAGCTGAAGAACGGTGTCAGGGGAGGTAAGTAGCTATCAGTGCAGCATTGCAAACCTAAAAGGAATCTCCCTGAGCATCCTTCCCTGCTCCGTTATCCCACATGATTATCCTAAGATGCCATGATTATCATTTCATCTCCACCTCCATGTCAACCTCCACAATGACCAAGCATAAGAGAACACTGAGGAAAGGGAGGGCATGAAAAGCAGAAACGAAAAGCCAGTCGTACTGAAGTCTTACCAGGTATTCCCAACTTGCCCATAACGGGGCCCAAAGGTGCTATAAGAACCATCCCAGTGTTTGTAGTTCAATTGCCTCTGATACCCTGAAACAGAGAGTGGAAGAATATTTTAGTTGTCACAGTACTTTTTGAGGAGCCATGCAAAGGAAATGTAGCAGACATGGGACACAGTGCCCCCCTTCTTAGGGCAGAAGTGTGAGCTACGCTGCTCAGTGTTACAACGGTAGTTCAGGCAAACCCACAGCTCTGAGTACCTCCATCCTTGTGCTCTTCCTCTCTCCTAAAACACCTGGAAACTGGCTATCTGCGGTCATTGCCACTCTCTGCCCTAGACTTGATGAGGAGAGGTAAATGTATCCCAGACTTGAGAGAAATGGGAAAATGGTTCCCAGAGGAGAACTGAATATAAAGGTGAGCCCCACACAGGATAGGGGTGCAGAAAAGAGGATAATTTTAATTGGAGGAAGTGCAGTTTTTCTGCGAAATAACTGAGTAAAAACGGTCCCCTGTTAGTCAGCAGATACCCACCATGTCCATATGTACCAGTGTTATGTCTGCCAACATGTCCTAGCTAGTGTGTTAAAAATCTGGCCTAGTCGAAGGTGAGTGACACTTTCTAAATCTTAATCCTAAGGATGGTCCAAGATCTACATAAGCAGCTGCCACGATTAATGGTTGCAGCCTGATTTATGTATTTCATATATCCCTTTTCTTATGGAGAGAACTCTGAGTTATTGCCAGTCCTGGACTTTTTCTATGTTCCGGTTTGGATGCTGTCCTCTCTCACCCTGCACCTCCACCTGAGTGCAGGATTCTTTCTCTTATAGATATTGTATTATATACACCTGACCTACCACATGTTCCCTTAATGCACCAGGACAACCTCCCCCAGATCATACACGCCAGTGGCCAATAGTGTCCTTATCCAGTTGCCAAGGGAAGGAATGAAGAGAGAAGCAAAAGCTGTGTCCCAGCTCACCGCTCACTAAGTATCCGATGGCCTTGGATTTGACCTCCTCACTCAGCTGCCCTGTCTTGTTCAGATAGTCCAGGACGTAGATGTTGGGGGCAAACAGGACCATGTTCTGCTCCCCACAGCCGAATGGCATCTGGAGGAGCTGGTGCAAGTTCTGCATGGCAGTGCCCATGATGTCGCCTGAGGAACAGGACAATTTCCAGTGTAAATTAGCACAGGTCAGGACTTGCCAGTAGACTGAGCACAGCCTAAAGAAACATGGCAGTGTTTCAAAATAGCATGTGATGCTTTAAGAATGCTTCACTTACCTAGCACTGAGAAATACGCTCTGGCTGAGCCATCCACCACAGTCTCTGGGAGAACCAGGGAGAATGGCACTGACATTGACTTTTCTGGGATAAAAACCAGATCAATTTGGTTACAATTCCAGATATATCTACACGCATGGGTAGCAGCTAAGAGGGTGAGACACCATCCGCTGCACAGGGATTTGCTGCCTTCAACAAATCCATTCATCTGTAATTTTGTTGTGGAAGCTTCCCATCCTGCAAATTTTCTGTTGGGCCTGCAATACCCTCATGCACAGACTGTCACGGACTTCAGCTGGCCTTGACTGACAAATACACTTCCAGCCTATTTTTCTAGCCTCTTCTGCTTTGGTGGGCAGACTTGGCTTACTGCGGAGTCCGGTTTGTGATTTTACACCCATTGCATGAAAGATGTTAGAGATAACCCTATTAAATCCCAGATATTCTCTCCCTACAGGGACCTGGCCAGCCTCAGTTCCTAAAAGATATGCTTCAGCCTCTGTGATTGCAGGGACTATTACAGACTCAGCTCTTCTCCTTTAGGAAGAATTAGTTTCACTACCAGCTGGAGATACATCTAGTTTGTTCAATTTTATCAGATCCCTACACCTTTCTTCTCAGAGCAGAGCATTCACAAGTCTTGTCTTCTCCCTTTGTCTTCAGTCTCTACCTTGGCAAAGAAAGTCTTAGAAAGAAAAAGGCTCTTACCAGATGCACAGAGCACAGAGTTGTAGGTAGTTTCCACCTCAGTCCCTTCCGGCTTGGGGAAAAAAGCAAGGAAAAAAAGCAAAAAATGAGAAACAACAACAACAAGAAAAAAGAAAAGGAAGAAATATCAAGAGGGAAACTAAAAGGGACTCTAAGAAAATTAAATACTTATAAATTCTCCTGTGGTAATAACTTCATTATACTGAAACGTCTTTAGAAATTGCTTACCAAGCTTTTTCTTCCATGGGCTAAACTGAGGATAAATGAAGACTATAACATACTGCCTAATTACAAACATGAAATTTAATACATGTTCTTTCCTTTCTTATTACTGAGAGAGGACCTGCAGCTTCACAGGTTACGATGCAGATAGCATGCAAGATGATGTTACCAACAGTGCTAAGAGAGCCACAGGGCTCTGTCTTCCAAGGTGCTGCCCACCGAGTGCCTGGGACACCGGTAGGATATGTATGCAAGAGCTTTGACAGGTGGCAACTAGAGCACTCCAATGCACCCACAAGTGACATGTTACAACACCCCAAATTTAAATACATGCCACAGTCAACTGGTGATTGTATCTCTCTGTTTCAAAAACTTCTAGCCTAAGACTAGGGGAAAAAAAAGAAAGAAGAAAAAGCTTTTAGAATAAACTATGACAAATCTAAATGCTTCTGTTTCAAAAGGCACCTTCTTGTTTGTTTCAGTATGTCATTCTGAAATGCAACTAAATGAGAAAGCCATTGTTTTGTTTGATTTTGAACAATTCAACAGGAAATTAAAACATAGAAACTGTAACTATTTGAAAGATTTTCCTTTCCCGATGAGAAATTCCTGGGTGAAAAAACATCCTGTTTCCCAACTAGCTCTCAGCAAGGCTTGTTTTCCCGAGGGGCAAGAGGACACCGCAGGGGCTCTGGCACACTCCCTTCTCGCTCCCCGGAATGCACTGCCTGCTGCAGGGGTTATTGGTATCCATGTGTTTGGGACAATGCAGCTCCACCCCAAGCAAGTTACACTGTATCCACCCCTGCTAATTAATTGTTCAGCCTTGGATGCTAATCTCTGATTCTATCCAGTCAGGGCTTGCTGTAGATTAATTACCTCATTACAATAACAGGATAAGACCAGTAATCTCTCAGACATCCTGACAGAAGTATTTTTAATGCTTATTCAGTTATTTTCACTCCCCCACCATCTGGGAGAAAAGACTTTACAGTTCTGATCTTCCAGTATCTTCAAAAAACAAAATAAACACTCTTTTTCCTGAAGGCATATATGAAATTAGGAAGTTTGCCTGAAATGTTAAACAGTTATTTGTGCCCTGATACACGAAATGCACTATGCAACCAAATTAATTTGTAAATAAGTGAAATTAAAAAAAAAAAAAAAAAAGACTAACAGATAGGATTGTCATTCCAGCATTACATTCAGGTTAGCAAAATATTTTCTGAAGTTACATATTGCAAGAATCCTAGCTCTGCCTTACTGAAAATTTGAATGTCTGCAATGTAAGGGGGACTTGCAATGTTATATATTACTCCTGACTTAATTTTGTTAAGTATGATTATTCCTTCTGTCATGCATAGGATCGACAATATTATGACATTATATAGATTTCACTATACAACAAGCTAGTACTCTTTGTTTGCTATTAATATCACAGGGAGTCTTATCCTGTGGATTAATTTTATGACTGGCTATTTATCATGGGAAAAGCTGTGGTTTTATCATTGCAAAACACTGCTTAAGAAAAAAAATGTACAAAAGAATGCAAAAATAAAAAGTTAGTTCATACTGTTTTGAACATTCTTAAAGTGTAATAAAAAACATTCAAAACAATGATGGTAGTTTTGTTTGGAAATATTTGTAGATTGTGGTGACTGTTCCATATTCCAAAGTACTGCCCATGTGCTGGAGGAGACACATAAGGTTTCTGGCAAGTCTTCCATTTACAACCTATCCCTGTGATTTATTACAGGTAAAACCAAGGAGTTCTCGTTTATCTCCCAGATGATGTGTCTGGGACAAACCTGTCATTATTGCCTGCCTTATTATTTCTGTCCCACTACGTAATGTAATACCCTGCTTTTACTATGAGATGGCAACATTATGAGTTATGGTCTCTATTGGCCTATGTGAGATTTATCAATGCTTCTTTTATAAAAGCATGCAGAGTAAGAGTCACCCAAGCCATTATTGCTGCGATCATGGCTAAAACAGAAAACCTTTATCATACAGCAACTGTTGCTGTGGAGCATGAAATTATTATTACTTTTCTGTGCCACTGAACTCAGCAGCCACATACCTCCACCAGCAGCTGTCTGATGACCGTGTCCTTCTGCCCTTTCTCAGGGGTCTCCACGATGGCGTTCCCGCAGGGCTGCTGGTTCTGCAGGGCCTCAGTGCTCACGGAGAACTCCACTTGCCCTGGAGGAAACAGGGGTCAGCCAGCCCCACTGGGCAGTGTCAGGGAAATGTGGGTTCGTGTTTGTGCTGGGCACTCTCTGGTGCATTACAAAGAAGCTTTTCCAAGAGGAGAACTAAACTCAAGGCAGTGTTTTATCTTGATCCAGCTGCAACCTTCCAGGCTACCTCCTTCGTGATGGCCACCCGAGCAGGTGTTAGTCCATCAGCAAGAAAAGTAGTGGAGGGGCAGGTCTTGTAAATCAAACAGTCTTGTTCTGGGAGGCTTCAGAGAAAGCAAGCTTTGATTAAAATATTTCAGACCCACCTACATTAAGCTAAGACATTCTCAGCTCCACAACAGGAATGTCTGAGTGCTTTGTATGCATTAAGGGAATCTGTGATTTCTATTCAAATGTTAAGACAACAATGGCCCATAACACTTAAATTGTTTGTTTAGGACCTGGAAACTGCATCCCAGTGTAGTCTTTCAACCTCAGGGTTGGACTTCTCACTTCTGGCATAGACAAGATCCTTCCAGACAGCTTTGGAGTCATCTAGCTCCTCACACCAAAGATCTGATGTCATCCACAGATATCTGATCCCGGTATTTTCTTGTTGTCCAGCCTCTTACCTAGAGATCTTGGTGTTACTGTCCAAGCCACAGTTTTCCTTTCATTCATGCAGACGCAGTAGGATTCTTCCTGCTCCTCTACTGGTGTAGCGAGGAAATGAGTAGATTCAGCCAGAGACACGCTGACCTGCCGGTTGTACAGAGAGGTGTCATGAAGGTTGGAATTGCAGAGCAGCTGGGGTTACTGGAGACTGTGCAGTACATGGAAATGGGTAGTGGAGCTGGTTATACTGTGGGACTGAGAACCTTATGCATATTGCAGAGCAAGAACTGGGTAATAATTAAAGACCCCCCTCATGATTAGTTAGGTGAAGAAGTAAAACACTAGCAGTGGGAAAGCTAGTAAGGGAAGAAGGGAGAGTGGAATAAGGAACCTGAAATAGCAAAAATAGCAAACAAAAAAATAGCAAACAAAACAGGAAAGACGAAGATAAGTGAGAGTCCTGGATCAGTGCCCCTCCTTGTTTCAGTTTCATTCCTTTTAGAATAAAAATCTGTATTTATAAAAAACTGAGCAAAGGTGATTGATTGAGATTTTGTTCCCAAATTCTCTCTTGTCTTTTTTGTTGGTGAAAGAGTGCAGATAAGAATAGTGAAGCTATATAGCTCTGCTCAGTGTCTTAGGAGCAGATGCAATAAATCACAGGAAGTCTGTATATTCCAGCAAACCTGGCGTGATACTTTGTGAGACGAGACTAAAGGCTGAACACAGGTATCCACCCTGGTGAACCTGGAGTTTCCATGTGGGTATGCAATGATGCTGTGGTCTATGGATAACCCAAGTTTCATATTTCTATAGGACAATGACATAAATCTGTGATGACAAGGCCGGGGCCCTCTGCAGCAGAGCTTTGGGTTCTGAATCAAACACAGCTTTCAAAACTTTGTCAGAAAAACATATTCCCCCTTTATTAAATACACCAAGAATTCCTACATGCGTACACCTATATGAAATTATAGTCAGAGATCAGTCATCTGGCTTGGGAAACCATGTTATAAGTGGCCCATTGTAGCCTTCCCTAAGCTGTCAGACTGAGCAAGGTTGTGAATGCCTCTTACCCTGATGCAGGCGTTCAGGTAGTTGAAAACAGTGGCCTTCAGCGTGAAGGACTCACCACGCACCACAGAGTAGGGCAGGGTGAGCTCTACAAAGAAGGGCTGGAAGGCTCTGAGGGACACTGTCGGGGACAGGCCAAAGCCCGTGTCTGCCGAAGTGCAGAACGCATTGGCCTTCCACTCGGTGATGGTGTCAGGGATGGTCACGTCTAGATCAGCATTTCCCTCAGAGCTGGTGAAGCACAGAGAACAAGATTTCAGTTATATTCCAGTGATCATCTATGTTTTTCTTAGCCTACTGAACAACACCTGCTGACAGCAAACTGCTGACTGGCTGGGATATGGGCACTGGCTTTTGCATGTTCTTCTGAAGCATCCTATGCTTAGTGACCTTGAAAAATCCCTCTGTCTACTAGAAATACCCCTCTCACTGAAATACTGATATTTCCATTGAGGCTTAAATATCTTCCGAGGTTTTGCCCCAGTGACCACACTCTACGTTCCCATAAACACTTACTTCACTGAAACTATGTCCCAGATCCATGTCTCAGGGAAGTACTTCCGGACGGTCTCCACAGGATTGCCAGCAACCGTATGTTCCGTTATTTCATAATCCAGATCTTCAAGCAGATTCAATGCAGTGACTAGCAAATTTGTTCAAGGACAGGAAGAAAGGAAAAGATGTGTCAAATGCCATTCTAAATCAGGAGGACACTTTCTTTCCAGGTAGTGGTTATTCTTAGCTAAAATTTTAAAATTGAAAGAACAGTTTTTTTGAGGCTGCAGAGAAGTGATGTGACCTACCCAGCCTCTTATATATAGAGCTGGGAACAGAACCAAATTTCTCAGCCCCCAGTGGTAAAATATCTACCCAGAGAATTGTACCACCTTCTCTTATCTTGGCCCACTTTTGCCCTAGTTGTTCCTCTAGTTATTGCTAGAATGTGACTACCTAGCAGTAAAGACTCCTTTTTTTAGGTTTCCGTAGCTGGACTCAGATCTGATGGAAAAAAGCCACTGCTTTGTGCCGGCACAGTCGATCCAATGTAAGCAGAGTGTCCTAGTGCCTACAGGATCCCTCCTGTAGGGGCTGGCATGGGAATCATTGAGCACACAGAGTTCTAGCCAGGCACATCTGTCTAGCTGGGGTTAAGCAGGCAGAGGTGTATCATTTTCGTATTTCTGGACTGAGGCCAGAAGGGAGTAATCCTGAATTAGGTCAGTATTATCTGGCAGGCGAATCTGGTATGCCTGGTGTAATTAATATTCAAAGAAGTAGAGGGAAGGAAAGAAGCAGGGTGGTAAATTTTAGGTGGTTTTGTGGGAGGTAAAATGAAGCCCGTATTCTTACTAGAACTACTGTAACTCCTTTCCATCATGTGTACTGGGTAATGCTGGCAGATTTCAGGCTTATGGATCTTGCTGCTAGTGAAGACTTTTAAGCCCAATTCCTAGTAAACAAAGAGAAAGAAGAGAAAAAATATGCAAACACAGTTTTGAAAATAGACTCTTTTTAGTATGTCAAGAATATGACAGGTACTGATGTCTGATATCGATCAGAATAACAAAGGCTTGTATATAAGTGCCAGATAGACTGGTTTAACCCAGATGTTGAGGCTTTATCAAGTTATACTCATCCTAAGGCTAAATCTTGGCATGATCAGATGGAAAGCTGAGGCCACAGGTCTACCCTGGGGACATCTACCTGGGTGAAAATGACATGTGTGAAAAGCATTAGATTGAGGGTACCCAATAAGTCTTGTGCAGGACTCTCTAGATAGGTATAGGTGTGTTTGTGGGTTATCAAAGTAACTGGCACTTTTTAAGACCTCTCTACACCAGATAGAGAGAGAACATGCATGACTGAGGAAGAGTTTCTAATATTATGGTACCAGGGGTCACTTATCAGGATGGTTTCCTTACTTGAGCCCATTCACAGGTATCTCTACTAGCAATAAGGAGACCCTTCAAAGTTTGAATGGTTCAGAGAAGCACTCGGGCACTAATGATGGGCTCCGTAGATGCAGGGCCTGGGTCTGATTATTGTCTTGCATACAAAAGTTAGCAAGCTCAAAGCAAAGTTCACCAAAAAACCCTTCATGACAGGGGAGAAGAGGAGAGGAGACTGTCTTCCAAGAAGGAATAGCAAATAAAAACAAAAGGCTGGAGCTTACTTTGAGAATGTCATAGGCATCACCTTCACCATCAGGAGAAACGGGTATGTAGACAAATCCATTTACTAATATGTTGTCCAGTGACACACAAGGGTTTACATTGTCTTCTTCCAGGTAGTAGTCCCTGAAGTTATAACCCCGGATTTCCTTCAGTGGGAGAAGATCATACACCTGGGGAAATGCAAACAACCAGGGAAAAGTGTGGCAGGTCAGCACTTACAGACGCTACTTAACACTCCTTTGATAAAAGCCAGCTTCTAAAAAACAAGTGTAGTGAATGCAGCTATAAAAATACATGGCCTCATGTCCATAGTGGTGTTAATTGTAGTTGAAGGATTGGTTCATTCTTGTACTGGCTCATTACTAGAAATAACCAAGACTTACAGAGCTGGGAGAGAGTTCATCTTCAGGCTTCATGAGGAGAACGCTCTTGTCCACAGCACGGAGGGCACACAGGGACCTTGGTGAGGTATGGAGTTGCAGGCGTGTGTTGGAGGCAGGAAGACCTTCCTTGGGTACAAAACTCAGTCTGACCTGCAACCCCAAAAAGGAAGTTAAAGCAGCCACTTTTCCAGATGCTGTTACATGCTATTATATTGAAGCATCTAGCCTTGTGAACTGAGCTCTGCTAGTGCCTTGCAGCTCTTCTAATATATATTCAGCTTTGACCAATGTAATTAATAAAGACCAGTGATTCTCTTTCTTATTGTGTCTTGCTCCACTTTTTATAGTTATGGTTTTGTAACTTATTCTGGAGTTTCAGTCACTAATCCTCAGTCAATATCTGGTCAGACCATTTCATTAACCCATTGTGAATTCTGCCTCTGTTCTGGAACTGATAACTGAACTGAACTGGCCTTAAGACAAACATGGGTTGCATAAACCCTGGCTTATACTCACTTTATTGGGGAGGCAATTTTCAACCTGGAAATCTGCTGAACTGGCCATGACTTCCCCACTGGGTGAAGTGGTATACACAAGCATCCGTGCCAGGGGAGCAATTGCCGCCTCAACAGGGAAGGTCAACTGAAATGTCCCATAAGCTAACAGAGAGAAAAAAGGCTAAGCAACATACAAGAAGTACCAGTATATGCATTTGCCTTCTCCAGATAAAATAGTCAAGTTCACTCATGCTGAACATCTTTTGCTAGCAGGGGCAGGAATACTGATACATGACTAAGTCTATGGCTGTTGCTGAAGACACCTGCATTCAAACAGTGATCATGTAATAGGCAAATAAGATGAGTTTGGTGAGCCTCAACATGCCTTCTAGATTCTCCTCAGTTAACATTTCTTGATGTTCCCAACCCCTTTCTTCCTCAAACTCCAAGATCTTCTGCAGTCTACTAAAACAGACAAGGGAAAAAACATAGAAATAAGGGACTGTTGTAATGGGTGGCAGCAGTCAAGGTTGCAGAGTGGTTGAAAGAATAACTTTGCAAAGTTACTGCTAAGCAAGCATTTAGCTGGAACACCAAGCTATAGCTCCAACCACAGTGGAAAATGCCCTTCTATGTTGAAAGACTCTTCCTAACTGGCCTGAGCTTCATGTCACAATCTGGACAAAGGTGATAGAACATCTCTTGTTTTGAACCAGGGTGTTAGTTCAGTCACTACTACTAGTGAGGATGCAGAACTTTCTATGAACATGCAGCCCGCAAGATCTTTTATTTCCATATGCTGTTTATACCCACTGCAGTGCAACTCCTTCTCATAGACTTCCAAAATGTCTCCCTGGTCTTATTGTTGAAAGACTTTTAAAGATGTACCATAGCCAGCCTCAGTTACTGAAATGTGTAATCCTTGGACATTTATATGAATAAAATCAAATGTATTGCTTAGAATATAGGTATGTCTGTGTTTGCATGCTTATAAGGGAGAAATAATACCCAAAAAATGAAGGGAAGTGAGAGAGAGAAAGAAAAGGAGACACCTTCTTCTTCTTGCTCACTGTACATGTGAGTCTTACAACACTGGTAAGCATCCAAATTTGAATACGGTAGAGCGGGTAGCAGAAAGTGTTGGTTTGAGGAAAAAAATGGCCAAAACATTATGCATATTTTTTGTTGAATTTTCTAAAATTTTCTGGTCAAAAAAATAGCACCTGACAGAACGTGGAGAAAACAAAACTAACCCAAGCCACTTTGTTTTAAAAGATTTAATTTTGAAAATGCATTTCAATTCAAAAATTAAATATTTGAACTGAAATAATTTCTCTACATGCCCCCACCCCCAAATTATCAGAGGTGCTAAAAATGCATAGTTCTGCTCACCATCTCCAGGATTCACAGTCAGATCATGGGTGTCTGCTAATATAATGCCTCCCTTGGCCATCACCTGTGTGACAGAGAAACTTTCTTGTAATTGTTGCTACCGGTGTTGAAGGAGAATGAACATTCACTGGGTTAACTGTAGAATGTGAGTATGAATAGCACTGCCAACTGTGAGCAAAACCAAGATACTAAGCAAGTGCCAGACTGGAATTTACTGTGTCTTTGGAGACAGAAATTTTCACTCCTAGGAGGGCCAATGTTTCCTCACTGGTTAGACCTGGCTTCCCTTTGTACATATTATATATATATAGATCAGGTTCAAATGCACTTTGCCTCTGAGTGCACATGGGTTGAGGGGTCATGTGCACATTTCTAACAATTTGGAACACACTGATGATCGAAAGTTCTCCTCACTCCACTCTCAGTTGTATTGTGAGACAGTCTGGAGAAAAATTTAATCAGGATTAGTTTCGTAACTCACACAGAGTTGGAACAGAAGAGCACAGGCTGTAAAAAAGGAGAGCTTGAATAAGGTACCTGAAGTCAGGCAGCATGCAATAGCCTGAATGCTAGCTGTAATTTCCTCATTTCTAGAAAAAGTTTCCTTTTTGACAACCGAAAGCACCTACTATGCAATTACTTTCCATGTAGGATATCTATTCCATAGCACCATATTTTAATTTCAAGATGTGGAATCCACACCTATAAAAATGTAAGTTCCCTCACTGTTTGGTTACCTGCTGTATGTATATACTTAAGACCAGCTTTTCCAGGCTACTGGGATAAACAGGAATCTTGTGCTTCAATTTATTGTTAGCAGTCTTGAAAATAATCACATGGACATCTCAACCACAGGTTTCTATTCTCTTTTTTGTAATCTCAGTCTAAGTCCCCCCGATGTTCTGTACAATCCATCAGAACAGGAGTGTTTGTTCCACTGATTTCTTCTAGCTTTCCAAGGCTACTCTCATCTCTTCTGCTAGTGTCATGAAATGGCAAAACCCGAATAACAAATTTAGGAGGAAAGAAGTTCTATTTCAATATTCATCTGATTCTTCCTGTTCTCCCAAGTGAAACTGATAGATCATTGTTCAGTCACAGTTGAATTAGTGTCTCCTCTCTGCCCCCCAGAATGAATCAATTCACAGTTCTCGATGCCAGCATGTTATAGTCTGTTCCAGTTACTGTGGTATCCCAAGCTTCCCATCATTGCCTGATACGCAACCTAAGCTCTAAGCTTATTGGGCTTTTCTGGTGCTGTAGTTAGAGGTGTTGCTTTAGTTTCAGGGGTCAAAGGACAAAACTGAGTAGGAGACTGCTTTCTTCCTCATCTTTCATCTGCTTGTTGAAGGATGCTGGTTTCTGAGCTGTGACCATATATGAACCAGAATTTGGAATGGGGGAAACTGGCAGTGGAGTACTATGAAATGAGAGTTTTGGATGGCTGCACCCAAGACAATGCTCTCTCCATCAACATTTTGCCTCTCTTCTGTTCTTAATAAAACATGTACACCCTATGTCTGCACACAGAAGACAACATGGGAAACATTACAGAAATGTGTTTAAATCCCACTGCCACAGGCCACGCTTTCAGTTTCAGACTCTCTCTATCATTACTGACTAAGGACTGACCATATAGCAGTGCTGTGGTTGCTCATCATGGAAGGTAGCTATATGTGCCACAGTGCTCTCTCTGGCCATAGGTCAAAGTAACCACAAATAATTCTTACCAAATAGTAAATGACAATTTTCTTCTGCTCTCCTATGGCCTCTGGTGTGAAGATATAGTGCACCTGGATCTCTGTGGGGGAGCCACAACTCAATGTCTCAGGCTTTGGTTCAATTTTGAGGAAACTCTTACTGGGAGAGTAAAACCGACTTATTCTACGCATGGCATTCTCATATGATGGTGTGATCCAGTCGCTGTCATAACAGTTCAGTTCAGGTTTATGATCAGCCTGATAAAGAAGAATAAAAAGTTCACAGCTGACCAAAACCAGGTAACAAGTCACATGAAAGTCCACAGAAAAACTCTGGGTATGTTCTATATTTCCCACTCTTAGAAGAAGGTAGAGAACAGGAGACACAGAGAAGAGAGATGACCTGCCAAGAAACTTGCTTTATCTTCCGATTGGCAGAAAGACTGATAACCCATGGATAGATATTTCCCCTGCTGATCAGAAAGACAGAAGCTTACCCCAGTCCCTCTGCCCTGTCTCTGCCACTCACTTGGATTTCCAGGGAGGCTTGTGTGAAGGTGGTAGTGTCTATGGAAAACCAGGATTGTCCCTGCTCATCTGTAGTGTAATTCCCTTTGTATCTGTCGCCATCCACAGAAATCATGATGGTTTCATTGGCGATTGGAGCATCAGTGCCATCTACCAGCTTCACCTAACAGAGCAAAACAAAACTTCAGGTTTTAGACTAGAAACAGAAAACAATTCCCAAGCCTTAAAGCCTCTTCCCCCTTTTCCTCCTTGCAAGGCAGAATGTTTCTTACTGAGAAGAACAAAAGACGTGAATGTGGAAATCTGTGGGGTGAGTCTTGAGTTGTCTGAGGAAGCACCTGAGAAAATTCTCAGCAAAACAATCTGATTGGGCCAGAGAAATTATCTGTTAGAACTCCAAGTTCCTCAGCAGGTTTTAATTCCCCTGGCCAGCTTCATATGGGATCTCCACCACATACCATCTGCCTCTTGGTTCAGAAACTCTAAGTTCAGGCTTGTGCCTCGCCCCAGTCCTTGACTAAAGCTACATTGAAGGTAGAACTACACCCGGCTCTTTCTCCTGCTGTTCCCATCTGGTTAACTGGACTTCCTTGGTTGAGCTGAGTCCTGACTCATCACTTTACATTGTCTGGTGATCACTGGACTGTTGGTGGAACCTGTTACTCTCACCATCCCTGCTCTGCTCAGTCTGGTTGGGTACTGTGGGACTGTGCCCTTGTTGATGAGGTCACTACGCCTACCTGTGTTGTGGTCACCCTTTGCACCTGGATAACGTTCCCTTGTGGAATAGCCCACACTTGCTTCTCCCTGGTGTTATGTGGTCTCATGTGTCAGAGCAACAGGCCTTCTGTTCTTTACTGGGCTGACTGCCAGAAGGTTCAGGGCCACGAGTCTGTTAGAGTGCCCCAACTGACAGTAATTTGTCTGCCTGTGCAAAGCCAGAGGAAGGTGGACCGTGTCATCTGCACACTGATATTCCATCTGATGGGATTGTGCACTTGTGAGTTTGCTATGCCATTCATTGTCCAGGGTCTCAGAAGTTCCCTACCCTCCCAAAGAGTGGGATCCCTGGTCTGTACTGAGAGTCCAGCAGGTCAAAGCTGATTTTGCTCATGATGGATGTGATTCCACAGGAGCCTGTTCCAGTCATCTCTATTCCTGAGAAAGAGCACAGTAAAGAGAGATTATTAATGAATGGTAGCATTTCTAGACATGTCACTTCACTTTCCTCATCTTTGCCAGGCCCTCCTATTATGGCCTGCCATCACTTTGCCCTCTCCATGTGATACATACCTGTGCCATCTTCTGTGATCTTGCCTCGTACCTCAATGCTCATCTCATATCCCCTGCGCTGGAGCTGAAATATCTTCGTCCTTACTACACTAGAAACACACCCACGAGCGTCTGCCTAAGCAGGGAATTGGAGAGAAAATTGGAATGCTGTGAACAAATTTGGTGCCTTGTGGGACAGGAATAGACACCCCAAACCCAACATGCTTCTGTCACAAAATCCCAGCCTATGTTCTAGGGTTGTCTGCAAGACCAGAACTTGTTTACAGGCTGTTTCCTAGTGTTTCATCCACACATTTTCTGTGTTCTGTGAGGTACTTGACACTCAGTTCTCCAAGGCACTCACTGATTTCCTTGTTAACTCCCTCCTACGTTAGTTTTGTTTTCCTTCCTGTTTCTTCTGTTGTCTTCACTCTTTTCCTTGTTGCCCTTTCTCCTTTCTCCTGTGTTTGACCCGTATGCAATACTGCCTTCTTGTTTTCTCCTCAACTTCTTTGCTCTTTGCTCCCTGCCAGTCCCCCCACCAGTTACAAAATTATTTCACAGATTCTTTTCTCAGTTTGGGGATCAATAGCAGGGACCTCACAGATGCTAACTGGAGATTCGTCACAAGTTTCAATGCGGTCAGGATTTCACCTGCGGGGTTTTCTTCATCAGTTCTGTTTCCAGTTTAATGACCTACCTCTTAAGAATGCCTTCATCTTCGAAGATCTGTTTTTTCCTGGACAGACTGCTATCTCTGATGTCCTACTATCTCTGATGTCCTACTATCTCCGATGTCCTACTATCTCCCAACAGTCACAGATTTGGCCTCCTTTAGACAACGTATTGTCCATTACCCATAAGAAAGACATTTTAATATTGGGACTCACCTGCCTAGTGAATTCTTCACACACAGCTTCTGCTTCTTTTCCATAACAATTTGAAGCAGAATGGGAAAATTTCCGGCACACTTGGACATTCACCAAACCAGGAACAGGTTTCCCATAGGTGTACCTATAATCACGAAATGTTAAACAATATATTAGATGAAGAGAAAATCAGTGAGAGAATCACACTCAGACACATCTCCTAAAAGACCTCTGTGGATGACTTCCTAATATTTCTTCTTAAAGGCTGACTAATCTGATATTTTAATGATTCTAGTGATCATGTTTCCATCATTTCATGGTGAGATTCTTCCATCATCCATTAGAATCCGTTCTAGGTGGGAGGCCTCTGCAGGAAT